TTTCTTCTCCGGACTCAGGCTCAGGCTGTCCATCGTCGACATTGAGAAAACAGAAAACACAAAGATAACCCAATAAAGACGTATTTACGCTTTTGGAGCGGTTAAAACAGAAGAAATTACGTTTAGAAACACCTTTTGTCCTGAAAAGCGTCTGTGCTTTTTAGCCGGAAAATCCCATCCTACGTTGCTGCGAGGTTGACTGCGAGATACTGGGTACCCTGTTTGCTGCGATTTGTCACTAATTTGCCACAATTTGCCACTATTCGTCACTATTCGAGACTGTACGCCACTACTCGCACTATTCGAGACTTCGTACTATTCGCAATTCGCTAGTCGGGACTATTCGCTGTTCTCTATTCGCGACTATTCGCTATTCGGGTTTTCCAGACATTCTGTTAGGAAGACGCAGCAATGTCGAAAAGCAAGTTGGAATGAAATAAATGACAAAATTATGCGATTTTTTTTCTTTCTTTTTAGCGAGTAATAGCTAGCGTAGCGTAAGTAGAATGAGTTATAGCAGTTAGCTGGGGAAGAAATAATTGATTCGCTCGCTCGTTCGGTCCGTCACTCAGTCGATAGGCCATAAACAATTTTTTGGTGGTAATTCCGCTGACCAGGGTATTTCGTTAGGGCTAACCATTGTGAACATGGCTACCAAAGCAATAAACTGATCTTTCGCGTTTGGAGTCGAACAAGTCGAACAAGTGCCCCCAATTTAAAGACTATTTGAAGTCTGGAAGGGCGAGAAAATTCGCAAATTCTCGTAGGATCCGATCGCTCACCGAGGCAGGCTCCAATCGATTTCCGTAATTTCGGTTCCAGACCTCGCACTAGCAGACCGCGTATTAAACAATCAAAATGGCCGCCACAAAAAACACAGAAGACGTGCGATAGGTTGATCCTCATACTCTAAACGGAGGCTCCTGTGCTTGAGTGCGAAGCCTGCTCGGAGGAATACTCGGAGGAAGCTCGGAGGCTATAGCCACACAGCCCCCTCCCTCCCCTCCCCTTTCACAACCTCGTCCCCAGGGCCCTCTCCTCGACGATTTTCAAAATGGCGGCTCCTGGTGCAATGTCTTCCCTGCCATTTTGCACGTGGGCATGTAAAGTCGACTTTCAAAGGTTTGTTATTTGTTTTAAAGCGGCTTGATCCAATGAAATACTTGATGTGAGACATGAAGTAACTTTTTCCCTTTTTGTGCATGTCAGAGCCAGGACGAGGAATGAGGAGACGTTTTTGCTTGTTGATCAAATTGCTCTGCACGATGAAGGTTAGCTTAAACTCACAAACTTGAATTTACAATGTTTCAGTTTGATTTAGTATAAGCTTAAACTACTAGAACAGATATAATATATAAGCGTTAGTAGAAAAACAAAGCGACAAATTCTATACCTGCCAACTTTCACACCTTTTGAGGGGTGGGCGGGGGGACTGGGGGGCGGGAGCCCGGGAGAATAGGGGGCGGAAGGGGTACGGGAGGCGGGAGAGGAAAGGGCGGGAAGTGGGAGAGAAATGCGAAACGCTTATTTTTTTTATTCAACAATGCGTTAGAATACTCTGAAAAACAAGAACCCAAAATATATTTGACTTACATTTAACGTCTTCTCAATCACTTCTGAGACTTCTGAGCAAACGAGCAAACAAAAATGTACACTTGAACTGAAAAACAGGCTTACTTCCAGTGAAGTAATAAACCTGTTTACAGTGATTACATCATAGGTCATGAAATGTTAAGCAGCATGAGTGCACGTGTGTCGCATAAGCTGTCAAATTGCAAAAAGATCAGACGACCTACTTCCGTGATTTAATTGTCTGATCCCAATAAATGTCGGACTGTTACTGGAAATGTGTATACTTTATCAGAAGACGAGACAATTTAGAATTAACTTTTGAGACCGTCGCCACTGAAAATGGACTGAAATGGTAAAACTCAAAGAAGATAAACAAGTAGGTCAAAACTTCATTGAATTGAAACATATGGCAGTGGTAATCTTGTTTAATTATTTAAAAACAAAGGAAATGCTTTAGAATTGCAAAGCTAAATGACTAGGATGTGTTTTGACTCTGCCAATTTACAGGGGATGGGAGCAGCATGGAAAAGGGTGGGAGGCGGGAGATAAAGGTACGGGAAATGGGAGAGCAGGGTACGGGAGGCGGGAGGTTCTGACCCCCCTGCCC